TTCAAATGTCCTCTGCGATATGACTTCAATTATTTGTGACTGTTACACTTTTACAATTCATCTTCTAAGTTGACTATGCAGATGCCTCGTATTTTTATAAGAAGAAATGCTGGTTTTAGAAAAATCTCTCTATTTGGTGTGCTTGGACTTTTAATTTCGATTAAAAAGTTGATTGAAAGGGATTTAGGAATTGGCCGCACTGAAAAATTAAGGAAGATAACCTTAGAGTGGAGAACATTGGATTTTACCAAGAAGCTCGAAATACTCCGTACTGAGCTTGCGTCAGTCACTTTACTCACATTATCAAAGCAATACACCATCATTTATAGCAAGATGCATCCAATTCCAATAGAAGAGCGGCTGATTGCAATCATACTCACTTCTTATTCCTAAGTTTGTAATTTTGAGGTGCCCCATGATCCGGCATAATTACTTTATGCTTACTCTAAATGCTCGCAGGAGAATGAAATTGAGGCATGAGAACAAAATGGATTTGATCAAGGCTATTTCTCTATATAAATAAAGGCCAATTCGCGAATCCTTTGCAATCAACGTATTCTTCGAAATTTGAAGTCGTATTTGTTGTTTTCCATCATACAATGTCCATCCTTAACTTCTCTAAGGTCATTTACAAATTCGAATCTGATTTATCTGTCGCTTTAGCACTGCTGTACATTGATTCAGCATAGCACCACTTTTTGACCATTTGATAAACGTGTTTTCCAGTCCAGTATTTTGCCTTATGTCACTCTATAGACTGCCGACCTTATGTAAATAGCAGAGGCACCAATGTCTCATTACACGCATATTCGCTTTCAATTTGACTAAAGTCATCCATGTTAAGCTTATTTCCGTTTAGCTTCGAATAAGGCTAGCACAAATTACCAACACAACTTATCTTAAGAGCTAAATTTCTTATAATTAATTATAAGGGCTCAGTACAGTATATGCTTGCTTTTTATTCACTGTATTTTTGTAGTTATTTGGGCAGATTTATTTATGTACAAAATACTCAATTTCAGGCGGCTGGCTCCTCTGTGAGCTGGGCTATGGGCTACGTTGCTCTGGCCACGGGTCAACTCCCCAGTCAGAGTCCTAAGGTGTCCCTGTCGACTGAAGCCTTTGTGCCCCTCATAATTCTTGCTATCGTCATTGTCGTCCTTGGTATCATCATCGGTTTACTTCTCTTTCGGCATTACTGCTGTAGCTCCATGAACTCCACGACAGCGACCACAATGCCAACTAATACACTAGATTACATGAACACGCAAATTGGGCTCCACGAGACAGGACAAAGTGAGTCGTGTTCAACTTACCCCAGCATACTCAGGCTTCATTCAGAAGGAAGGAGCGAAAAACTCACCAGGGGATAAGAGTATATTCACTAATGTGATCTACTCCGAACCTTTATGATTCCCGCCCTTATCACATATAGTGTTTCCTTCATAAATACACTCGCATGCGCACATTCACTATTACTAGATTCACTCCTTTTAGCATGATTTTACTTGTTTTACCCCACATTTAAATAGGCTAAATCTACTAGATTTTATCTATTTTTCAATAATACATTTATACCTCGATCTTCATCTCCTTTTTTGCCTGCGTCCGACCCATTTTCTGGATGCCTCACCTTTTTTATTCGTGTATTCATTCCTTTTTGTAATTCCTCAATATCTAAATAACTACTTATTACACTTTTCACATTTTCTACTTTTTCCTTTACATGTGTAACCTTAGTTCACTCCATCCTCATATATTTATTAACATTTTCTTTTAATTTGCCGTCTATCCCCATATTTACTTTTGTCTTTATCTGTTTGCTTGCTTAAGTCTGTCTTTTGCATCTCCTTTTCCTGTCATACTGTTTTGTGCAGAATACGGCATAGAATCAATATAATCTTTAAATAAATAAGCTATTTAAATATATTGAATGACCCCAAAAGACAAGCAAAATCCTTTTTCCGACTATGATACTCGAGCGTTATAAAACTGTGATCCCGCTCTTGATTTCTTTTCCCCCAATTTGTCCACTTGCGTGTGTATTCACGTATGGATACCAATGTTGGCATGTGAATGACCGTTCGAGTAATACCCAAAGCCTATCGTTTGTCTTCTGTTGATAAGACAGCGCACATGCTCTTTCTGACGAATACTAAATAAACAGTAATCATTTTTAGCTATCTGCTTGTTTATGTGCATGCACAACTAATGATATGCGCCAGTGGGTGCCGGATGGTAAATCCGATGGTTAATGATTATTCCTCCAACTTTTCTCTTTTCATCCTCGCATCCAGGACCCTACAATTTAATTAACCATGTTGCCTTGTAAAGAATTAATTTTCTTTTAAACAGAAACAAGTATGCTCATATCTAGTTCTTATACTCTACTCTCTATATGGTTAATGCGTTGGGGTATGTAAAACCCTTTAAGTCAATAAAGGTTTATAAAAAACTGAGCAAAAACCTTAATTTGTACACCTCAATACGACGTAAGCTTTCCTCGAGCTCTTGAATGATACACACAGTCACCCGAGAACAGTTCGTCACCTGGACAAGGATCTAGCATACTGAAAATTATCAGGTTGAAATATTCGATCCCTATAGGAGAGAATCACCATAAGATAAATTTTGGTGTCAAGTATTAGTGAGCTTACTTCCATTTCGAGTGAGTGTTTGAAGAAGAGATTCGAAAGTCGATTCCACCAGAAGATGACGCGGATTCCTCTTGACTAGCCGTCGATTGGCTTTACTGGAACATTCATGGTGACGCCGTTTCCGAGGTAATCTCCTTCGATTTCGGTGAAAAGGTACTAAGCTTTCGTCCGTCATATGACAAACATCATCAGGTATCATAGTCACAACCAAGTTCGATGAGTAAGCGGTTACGAGACGAGATATAAGGCATCAGAGTCCTCAAGAAAGCTTTATTAAGTATAATGGGCCTTGATTCGTGGGTTGCTGTTATGGTCGACATTTTTAACTGATAATGGCAAATGCACATAGGGATTGTCTTCTAACCATTTGGTGCTAGAACAGTTGCAACACTGGAGCCGAACATTAGCAAAAAGGATGCAGGCCATCTGGAATATCTATTTTAGATATTGATATTATTCCTCGATTTCTTGCTATCCTGATGAGTGTTGTCTCTTGCGTTAATTTCGACTGCTTGTCACTCAATAGCAGAATCTACCTGCATTTCGAATGAGTGGTGAAAATTCGTAAGTCGACTTAACTAAGAGACGACTGTCTTGCTCACACGCGATTCTCAAGACAACCCTTGGCATCCTAACAATGGATTCGGGATAAGTTATCTCGAAGAGTGCATAAACTAAAAATCAGCAGTAGGAACGACAGCTGATTTATTAGAATCAGCAAGTCTCATGGTGAATCTGATGCATGGATCTCACCATGCAACTCACTCAATGACTTCAAATTAAGATTATCGAACGACGATTATTAGCTCTCAGTCAGTAGTAAAGAGCAGTAAGAATTTTTCAGCGATTAAGGGGTCGACAACTTATACCGATATCCAGGTTGTTGAGTCTAGTTTTTACAAACCAAACATAAAGTACCCTTCCTCAGATGAAATCATTGTATTATAATCACATTGTGCGATGGCAAACAATAATCAAGGATCCCTTGGGGCACCCCAAGCGTTCCAACCAGTCATATTTGACAGACAGGCTAGCCCAAAGCCAAGTTCGATATTACACCTATTGGAACCTCCGGGATCGAAAATGATGGACCATTTACGAGCCAATCGAGACTAGGTAAAAACAGTGATTGGGGTTTGTTACAATTTGATTTAAAAAATGTACCTGTGGGACACAGCAAAGCCTAAGCAGAAATACAAGCAACAACTTTAGGAGCTGGCAGAGAAATTAAGATTGGATATTTATTGATTTCGTTTCTTGCTTATTTTGCCTCTCTTCCGAATCTATACCATGCCATAATCCGTTAGGTCTTACGTCCGTCACTTTTTGGTAAGTGGTTCCAAATTTATTCTTGATTCCAGATATCTCTACTTGCTTTGCAAAATTCGAGAACGGAGCAGAAAAGTTCGGAGACGATAAAAGAATGCGAATGTAAATATAAGTGCGGATTAGGAGTCATGCATAACGTAAATCACAGTTGCTCCTGTTCTTCGCTTTTTTGTCATGTACAGAACCTGGGAATTTGGTCATGATTTCGCATTAAAAATACATCTGTATCTAGATTAGATTGGCCAATAGTTGATGATAATAGATGTCTTTTTTAGATACAGGGAAAGCATTGGCCATTTTGACTATACTAGTTAAGATTGATCCAATGTAGACGGCAACGTCAGGATATTTAGCTATACTCGGTATATCTGCTAATTGCTATTATTCCATTAATAGATAATTGCATAGACCTAAAAATAGTTACCGTACAGCCATTTAGCTACCTTAGAATTGTAAGAAGGAATGATAGGCAAAAGAATGAGATCAAAATACATATTTATTTAAAAGCCTATGACAACAAATTAAACGACAAAGAATATCGCAAATAGAAGGAATATACAGGAAGGAATCATAATTTGTGAAATTGCATGAGTGTGTCAAACCATTGCAAAACAAACTATAAGTTGACAATGGAGCAGTAAGAGATGACGCAGAATAAAGGATACAAGAGGGGAACATAGGATTAAGATAAGAAAATAAAGATGATATGGCAAGAATGGGAATGTATACAGAGATCCAAACATAAAAGAATAAAAGGGAGAGCTGTATAGACTCTAAGATATTCATGGCCAAGAAAACCCGTAGTTATCCTCCATTTCTTTAGCTCGTTTAGCCTCTTTTTCCTCAGCTTCATCATTCTGAAAGAATAGGGGAATCAAAGTTCACAAGTTAAAGCCGTAGTCAAACAAGTGACTATTAACATAATTTCAATTAATATATTTATCCGCCTCAAAATGTTCAGGAAAGTTTATTACCTGACTAAAAACCGATATTCTTGATAACCCGTTCATTATGTATCAGGTTTAATTCTTACCGACCTGCTTCTATTCGAGGTGGTTCGCGGAAACAAATATTTGTCATATTTTTGAATGAGCAAGTGAACTATCTTTATTAATGTAAGATAAAAGGTTCGCGGTATTATCTAGAGTTCATTTGATAACAAATGAGTCTTTTCCAACAAACCATCACCTCAGTGACAAGCTTGCAAAAATGAATAAAATTATTCTGCCAAATCATCCCAAATGAAGTCACAAACACGTCTACCAATCATAAAGCATAGATGATGCCATCTATAAGAACATATGGGCTCAGACATCTTAAATGGCAAACTAATAAGCTCAGCCTTAAAGTAGAGTTTGCAAGTGTACTTCAAACCACTAGTATAATGATTCTCAAAAGTGCAGTCCATCCCGAAAAAGAATAACTTTTATAAATAGAATTTATGTTAAGTTTAAAGGAAACCTGAGGACTATTCATTAGTTTGGAGTCTACTAGTAGCTTTGAAACATACACAATACGAATATAACTGATTTTAATAATGGAAATGCTATCTAGCAACTGCTACGTTGCTGTCAGAAATTCAAATAATCGAAGTATGCAACCAATATAAATACTCCTATTATCAATTAGATTGCATAGTTTCCTGTTGAGGTTTTATTCTATTGAAGACTTACCATAAGAACGAAGGAGAATACGCCATCCTGGTGCCCTGGGCCGCCTTGGAATTTAAAATTTCGGCCGAACCGAATAGAGAGCCGGTTAGCAAGAGCCCTTAGATCAGGTATGACTAGAGTTGGTTCCGCCAAGCGCCTGGCTGGTTGTTGATGCTGACTTTTTGGCTGTTCTGAAGCTTTATACCACTTTTCTTTATCGTCAATACGTCCACTCTTCCCTTCCTCATCTTCTTCAGCCGATTCCACCTCCAATAAAATATCTGAATCCTCTCCATTAGGCCTTGTCTTAGTCTCCATATTTTCTATTCCCTCCTCAAGTCCTCCTTTATTTTTAATTTCGATATCCGATTCCACTGATATTCCTTGGTGGTGTCCAGCCCTATCTCCCACTTCCACTCCAGCCGAATCGGCAATCTCGAAACTCTTGTGGTCCAACTTGTGAAGATTAACACCTTCAGAGCTCCCAACGTTTGCCACACTGTCACTGACGGGGGTTTTAGCCACCCCAACAACTATTTCGCCCTTAGTCGCAGAATGGCTATGCGGTTGAAGCTGTTTGCTATCGGGCGTTAGGTCACTGGCCATAACAGTGGAAGCGGAAGGCTGAAGGGAGGCTTTTAGCT